TGAGATTGGAATTTAATTTACATCATTAATTTGGCCGTTAATTCAACAATTGCTGCCACATTCATGAGTCTAGATTTGGTTTGCAATATATTTTCAACAGGACTTGACAGAATTATCAAGTCACAAGAACCAAAGAACGAAAACAAGAAGGATGTTTGTGTGTAAAAAAAAAAATCAAGTATGCATTTTCCCATTTGTACAGTGCATGCATGCACAAGCGGCGATAGATGCATAACTAGATTGAGGTTTTATTCACTGAATTAAAAAAATATCCTATTTGATTCTTTTGTCAATGGACATATTACATCACATATGCCACTGGAAGGAAATACTGCCATGTTCCTCAATTTCTAGTTATTTATCAGAATATCTAATATGTATCATAAAATACATATCAAAAGTGTATATGATATACACTATTTGAAATGTATATGTCATAACATGAAAATAAAGATGTGTATTATAGCATAACCCTTCCCTTTGTTTTGTGTTATCATTAGAAACACTACAAGAAATTTGAGTTTTAGTGGTGTTTTTTAAAATGTCGCTAAAAGCCTGAAAAACGCTGTAAAATATTACAACAATGTTTAAAATTTTCGTCGTTGATATGACCGCCGCAATAGCTTTACAACGTTTGAAAACCGTCATTAAAATTATTAGACGGTGTTTTTTAAAATGCCGCAAAATCTTTTACATCCGCTTCCATTTCCATCACAAACTAACGCATGACGTCATTTAGTGGCGTTCTAAATGACGTTTTTTAAAAAAACGCCACTTTTTTTTCTCCTTGATTCTGAAATATGAGAAAAATTACAATCAATATTTTGTCAAAAGCGTAGCATTTCAGAAGATATGCACTGAAAGATTCAACACAATTATGAGGCCCCGTTTGCCAAGAATCTAAAATATAGTACAAGCCAAAGAATTTAACTAAAGAAGACAGCTTGATGTAATAACAAACAAATCTAAGCCAAATAAGTGCAAAAAAATATTTAAACTAAATAAGTCCAAAAAAACAACAAAAATTTAATGCTTTTTTCACAAGTTTAGTAAAGGATTATAAGCAAATGTCTTTCTTTGCCTCAAAGAACTCGCCTTCTCCCTTCTTTTTCTTCTTCTCGACTTGCTTTGCAAAATACTTGTCATCAAACTTTTCAACATTGTCCAGTTCCAAAAAAAAAAACTTTTCAACATTGACGCCAGAGATGTCCACCTTGGTCGAAGTATCAATCAAATAAGGTTGATTTACATGTCTAAAAGGAACACCATTAAGCTTGAAAGGTCCCGTAGAAGCAATGGAGAAAATGAGACAGTAATTCAAAAGCTACTCAACGATATCTTACCAAACCAAGTGAAAAAAACACGCCTAATGGAAATCGTAGGGCTGCCCTTGGGAGTGCACAATTCCACAATGGTATTCTCTACCAAACGAGCTCGTACTACCAACAAAATCAAGCAATGGTAATGCTATCTATCAAGACCAGATCAAGAATTGCAATCCTTCCAAATCATATATTGCATAAGTCATGAACAAGTAAATTTTCCAAGGACCAACCACGGATCTCATGAGAATATGGCAATCAATACAGCCAAGTCATGTCAAACTAATATTTATGCAACAAAGCAACAGTAATCATACTCTATGATTCCACATACACAATTTTATGTGACTAAGCAACACCATTCATAGGATATCCAACATCAAACTATGCAGCATCACATAAACTAACAGGCATTTGCCATCATCAAACCCAAGAACATAAGAGAGAATAAAAATAAAATAAAAACCCACCTTGAAAAAATTAAAAATTAAAAGATACAAATTTAGTACCTTAGGTAGTGATAACGCAGCTCTTGCTTGGAGAAGACATTTTTTAATCTAAAAGTACTATGTATTTACCAACTTGCCAAGTTTAGAACAAAAGAAAAAAGATGCAAGCCCTCAAATATTCAATTCCCTATAGGTCTTAAAAAAATTCAGAATTCAAACATAAGAACCCAAAACAAACATTTGAACAAGTGGAATCAGCTATGGCAAAATCAAAAGATGGTAGGTACACTACAACATATAAAAGTTTTAGAGACCAAACGTTTTGGTCTCTAAAAATGAAAATTTTGTTGTAAAAGACATTTAAAGACCAATTTCCATCTTCATGAGGATAGTTGCCAAAAGGACGTCCCGAAAAGTAAAAAATAAGGCATTTAGCGACAAAATTTTGAAAATGTCACTAATAAATAGACTTTTAGGGACAAAATAATTTGGTCTCAAAATGATTTATTTTTTGAGACAAAAAATTTGATCCCAAAAGGATAATAATTCATCACTAATGTCCAATTTTTGTTGCTAAAATTATAATGACGACACTTTTCCAACAAAATTATTTGGTCTCTAAAAAATAATTTTGTCCCTAAATTTTGGTTTCTAAAACCTTAATTTTTTGTAGTGACAATAACTAGAGAGAAGAAACCAACAGAAGTATCACAAAT